TTAGATTGCAAACCTTCTCAATTTCACATAACAGTGGCTTTACTTCCCATTGCCATTTTGCTGCTCCATTTTCATGATTAGCATAAAAGAGGCTATCTAAAGTTGGGCAAAAGTTTACCCAATAGTCATAAATAAACGTTACAAACTCACAAAAGTTATTAAAAAAGTATGCATATTAAGCCTTCGAAAAACACCCTTAATATTATCGAATTTTGTGTTAACAAGTATGAACATACATTATCATTTAACAGCACAATTTGAACAAGCGTACTTAATATTGAATGAAACAAAAATTACCTTCTTACTACACTCGTTTGCATTAAATAGTTTATTATTGGAGCATATTTTGACCTAAATTCATTTTTTTTAAGTGAAATAGAAAATAAAATGTGATAAAAGTTGTCATAAACTATAGCTAAGATGTCAATACTGCTACATTTGCTTTTAAGTATCTTCAATTATTGGTTAGTTGTTACTGATACTGTATAATTAGCATGTCAGTATAAATCAAAAGTGCGCTTTGTTAACTGTTGTCGCAAACAATTGAATAAATTACATCATTCGCTTAAAATTGCACTGCAATGTTCTGCGTTCGACTTTATTTGCAGTATAATATGTATGGAAAGTCATAAAAATTGTTCGTGAAGTAGTTTAATATGCAATTCGTCTCATAAACACAATTGTCATTTGATTCTTATGTTTTGTTGAGTGTGGCTGCCTAGAATTTACAATTCAATAATATTTGCTTTTAAGTTAATAAAAAATTTTAAAGTTCATTTTTGAATAAATTAAAAATTGGAGTACTTTTATTGTTATTACGTTTAAAATGTAAGTATGAATTATAGTTCAATTGCTTTACTATGAATTTTTTAATTACAGAGATTTAATACTCTAACCATCAAAAAATTAGATTTTGAGGTTCCATATCAAATTATTCTGCTCATTCTCAGCTTTTTTATTACTTATTTTGTTTGTGAGACCCAACTTTTTCTTCGTTTTTCAATAAGAGCAAAGTCCCATTTCCTTATTTAAAAATTAAAATTTCAGCAATATTACTTCATGGCAAACTAAGTCTAAGGCATAAAACTAAGTTTGGCAAAGGTATGAGTTACCACCGAATAGTAGTAATCTATATTTCGATAAGAAATTTTTGAGATTTATAAAAGTATTGTAAAAGTATGTGTTTTAAAAGTATTGATTTGAGATTTATAAAAGTATAATAAATTACTCACTTTAATCAAAAATAAATATAAAAAAAAAAACTAATCGTGACCCATAGGTTTATCTTAGAACGTCTTTTCTTAATCCTCGGTTTTAAGTTGGTTTTTCGTCATACAAACATCATTTTCATACAAACAATAAACTTTGTTGTATTTATTTTTAGCCCTTTATTACTCTCACTGACTTCGACAATGATGTGTAAGATTTTAACAAAGCTTTCGCATTTTATTCCTTTCAATATTAATGCGCAAAATATAGTGTCTAAGTTTCTGTCACTTCATTTTTATCAAGAGTTCGAAAAATGTATAGATTGAAAAGAAAAGATGAGAATTACAGAAATCTTAAATAATTTCCCATAGATGAGATGAAATTTATTAGTTGCGTATGATTATTAGCCTTTGTGGCAAGATTAACATTCAAAACTTGTAACTTGAATTTCGGTTTTGTATTTTTTATCTGAATGTAAATTATTTTTTATTTTATTTTTATTTTTTAGAATAGCATGTTTTTAAAGTAAAAAAAATAATAATGCTTATTTAATTTAGGTTTTAAAAAAAAGTTTTTCTCCCCCTTCTATAATGTGTATTTTAAGCAAATTTACTTTAAATATGACTCGTATATTCTAAAGAAAGTTTGTTTTGTGTTTTCCAGATAAAGTTGTAGTCAACAATCATAATATATAAAGTTTTTATTGCTAACGCTATATTGTAAATATCTCTGTACCGAAGTAAATAAATATTGTTTTATACTGGTAAATTACACTCTGCAGCCAAAAAAAAAAATTAATTAATAAATAAAGTAAATAAAATAAATAAATAAATGAATAAATCTAAGCTTTTACACTGTTTTTGCTGATTCTTACAAAAAATGGCTTCCTGAATTTGAATATGACACCCCCTCATTACCCCCATTACATTGTTTTTCGACAACATACCCCTATGCCTCTCACTTTTCTGTAACTTTATGGCCATGAATTTGATATGAAGGAAGGAATAAGTATTCTTTTTGCCATTGAACTTTGTGTGAAGGATTAAAGAGGTGAAGAGTTCAACAACATAAACAGTAAACTAAACTGAAAAGATTAAAACAATCTACTTCTTATATGCCCTGAATCGTGTTTAATTTCTCAATCTACACACCAGATGGCAGAACCAGACAGTTTGTGATATATTTAGAGATAATTATTTTATTTTAAACTAGATGGCATCACTCATCTAACATGTAAGCAAAAAATGAACCCAAAAAATAAAAATAAACAGATATATTGTACGGTGCGTAAAATGAAAAACGAACCACCCTGAATAACTTTTGATCTAATGGTCGGATCTTCACATCCTAGTACTCAATCTTAATGGTTTAACCAAAAAAATCCTAATTAATTAGTGCATACAATATTTTAAGTAATGAAATCAGACAGAAACTTATTTTCTCTGAATAAACACATCTTTTTTTCCCGGACGGATTCGGATTTTGGACCCCAAAATAGAATGTGTGGCCACAATCTTGGAAATATGGTCCTATTAGTTTAATCAGGAGAGTGGTTCAAGGGTTGGACCCCTTAATGTTAATTTAATTTTTTGCGTATCTCACCATAGTATTTTGTGAATTTTTTAACGGAAAATTTTTTGCACACACGTTTATCTAAATATAATTCCATGCAAAATATAATTTTTAGTAAATATTTATAATTTTTCATTATTTTTTTAATAATGGTCAAGAAAATTTTGAATTGTCAGGCATACAAAGTTTTGTATCATCTTAAGGAATATAATTTTAAATGACAAAATGCAAACTTTGCGGTAAATTGCTCAAACAGATCTTTAGAATTCAAATTTTAAATATCTGACTGTCCTGAAATATTTTTTATCTTTTTATTAGTATTTGTTTAAATTTTATAGTAAATATTTATTATGAGTAATTATTAATAGTAATAAATATTTACAATTATTTATAGTAAATATTAATTAATAGTAAATATTTATTATTCTTTATTAGTTTATGAAATAATAGTCGAAAAAATTTTGTATTGCAAGGTATACAATTACGTATATCATTTAAAAGAGTGTAATACAAAATTTGAGTAAAATTGATCGAATAGTTCCTAAGAAATCGAATTCTGAAAAAGCAAAAAACCAAAAAAAAGCGGATATTTAAAATTTCAATTTTTCAGGAACTATTCAACCGATTTCTCTTAATTTTGTATTCTACCATTTAAAATTGCATTTTTTAAAATGATGCAAAAATTTGTATACCTTACATCTCAAAATTTTTCGGTTGTTATTAGATAAAATAATAAAGATTTACAAAATGTTACATTTTGCATGGAATTATATTTGGATAAACAAATTTTATGATTGGGTGCAAATTTTTTTTCAATTCTCTTATAAAGTTCTTGAGGCAGTTTGAAATACGCAAAAAGTGAAATTTGCATTTAGAGGTTCGAACTTTGGACCATTCCCCGGACCAAATTATTTGGACCATATATCACAGATTTCGGCTACTCCACAGATTTTGGGATCAGAAATCCGAATCCAACGAAAAAAAGCTATGTTCATTTAGAATAAGTACTGTCTGATTTCGAAACTGAAAATAATGTCTGCATTGATTAATTAGCATATTTCAGGTCACTTTCTTGGCTTATTAAGATTGAGTCTTAGAACGTGAAGATCCGATCAATAGATCAAAAGTTATTTAGGGTGGTCCATTTAGTTATTAATTTATTTATATTTGAGCACTGTACATACACTTAACTTTATATAATTTTCTTGAATAAAAAAGAGAGCACTTTTATGACCGTTTTCTTCAAAATTATGCAACTATTAAAAGATTGAGGAGGGAAATCCCCTCAAACTCCCCTTTCTAGCTACAACTAATCATATATTAGGATGTTTCAATTCTTTAGCCCCTCAACAAAAATTTAGCATTTAAAGTAATTTTCCTCACAGGGGAAGAAAAAATAATTCTTGATTCGTAACTATTATTGAATTCGTAAATTTAATATTTATTTTTCTTCTCGTTTCAGATATTTTCTCTGCATGCTTTTTATGGTTCATGGCAATGAAAAAAGAGTAATGGTTTTGATTTATTAAAATGTGCAGGTGGAATTGTATATGAGAGTGAAGGACTGTTGATTAACGAAACTAAATCCAAAAAAATGTAACGATGCACCCTTTGAAAAGTATCGAATTTTTGAAAATGCTGGAATTGGTTTAAAATAATTAATCAATTGCAATAAAAAACACTGGTACCTTATAACCTCACCGAACTTTTTTTTAAATCAATGGCTTTGGAATAAAATAACTTTTTTATTTCTGATGAATTAAAATGAATAGTTGAAACTAAAATTTAGAGTGGCAGACTGGTGACTAGTGAAAATAAATTCAAAAGATTTAACAAGATTCAAGGAAATTGCGAAATCGCGTGCTGAAGTTTTTAAATGCTGGATGGAACTTAAAATATTCATTCGCCATTTCTCTTAAAAATTGGCTAATTAAAAACTCCACTAAATACTAATGAAATGATGTGAGAAAACTATCTTTTAATGTCGCCGACAAAACCCTTAAGTCAATAGATTTGAAAACAAAATTTCCTGATTTTTTTGGTAAGCTAAGATGAAATGTTGAAACTGAATGCTATAGGGCAATATTTATGGTTAATGACACTAATTCCAAAAGAGTAACGACTATTTTTTAGCAAATCGTTAAATCATGAGGTAAGCTTTTGAAAAATGAATGTAGTTTGAATTTTTCGCGCCATTTAAAAAAAAAAAAAAAAAAAAAAAAAAAAACCTGAAGAAATATTTTCTAAAACCCCGTCACTTAATAGTAAAGAAACAATATGGCAATGCTAACTCACATTGTCGCAGATAAAATCTTTAAGAAATCATCAATATATGCGATTGCTCGTATTGGATTTTCAAAATCAAACTATCACAAAATATTTTGGCTCCTCATATTAATAGTTGGATTATCTGGTTGCGCATACAAGACTCAAACATTTTGTTCTGTTTACTTCGAATATCCCGTAATAGTATCTCTTCAAGAAGAACAAATTTTAGAATCAGGATTTCCTGCCGTTACTATTTGTAACCTCAATCGAATGAAAGTGGTCTACGAAAGCTGCATTAACAACGACATTATGGAAAAGGGTTGCATTCCTTCTCTTGGCCAAGTTGGTGGTATGCCAGCATCAGGTAGAGGTTCTTCTGGTAAGCAAGACATATCTGAACGACGCAGTCTACTATCTTGCAATGGTACGTTTAATAAAGAATCTCTGTCGAAACTACATTTAATCTTCAAATATTTACGAATGAGTAATGAGAATCGAAGATTTGTTGGATATAACGCATCAGAATTAGTAAAATTCTGCAGTTTTAACATGCAGTTATGTTCTTTGAAAGACTTCAAGTACTTTCAGAGTCTCAGATATGGTAATTGTTATACATTTAATAGTTCCAGCAAGTATGGTAAGAAGTATGTTACATTTTCTAAAAAAGGATACAAAAGTGGATTGGAATTATTACTGAACTTGGGTTTAAATGAATACATGTCAACCGCTTCGAAATCTGGAATGAGAATCTCAGTTCATCATGCTTCAGAAGCTCCAAACCCAGAAGTAAATGGCTTTGACATAAATCCAGGGTTTGAAACATCGATTGTTCTAAAACAGATGGCCATTCAACGTTTGCCTACACCATACAAAGATCGATGCATCAACTACAACTCGCGTATTAATGAAAGCAGTGAAGAAGAATGTATGAAGCTATGCCTTCAAAAACTGAGTTTTGAAATTTGTGGTTGCATTGATCCAACTTTAATCCTAATTCCTGGAATGAAGCATTGTAATATATTTAACATGAGTGATATTTGTTGTTTGGATGGAGTTCAAGACAACACAACTCGAAAGGAATTACCATGTGACTGTCCGCCATCTTGTTATGCTGTTTCTTACAGCAACGAGATTTCAAAAGCACGTTTATCAAAGATTGATGGTATTTTGTCGAACAAATCAAAAGACAATTTTATGGACCATTACGCTCGTTTGAAGGTATTTTACTCCACTTTCACCCAAAATACTTTCAAACAATTACCAATGTTTGAAGAATCTGAAATCTTCAGTCACTTAGGTGGTGAACTGTCATTGTGGTTGGGTCTTTCCCTGTTTGCCATTTTCGAAATAATGGAAGCTCTAATAAGTCTTATCAAAGCATATAAAGCCTCAAGTAATTAGAAACAAATAGCAAAAAAAATTCTACTGAAAGGTAACTTTTTAAATTTTCTTTGATGATTTTTGAGTTTTTCAAAAAATACCATCGAAATATATATGATATTTTAATAAAACATTTTTTTCGAAATTTAGGTGGGTTATTCAGAAATATTTATGTAGAAGGATATAACAAGTTTTGCTTTATTGCATTTACATAATTTGAATGTATATAAGGATATTTATGCTAGAGAACTTGTTTTAGCACAAATAATTGCAAAACTTATGAAAAGATATATCGTTTTAGTCAGAACACGAAATAAATGCTGTGGAAATTTCGATAATAACTGAAGTACCATTTTAGAATTCACTAAACCCAAAAATCAACTTAAATATTTTTTTACGAATTTAAAGAACAATTTCCTACTTTTTTCTCGTTTATTTCTTTAGGTTTGCATGTGCAAATTCACACCTAATAATCCCAAATAGACAGGAAACAAAATTGTAGGAAAACTCCGCTTTATTTGCTAAGTCTTAAATTCTACTCAAGTTGTGTATTGAATTAATTAAAATACATAAAACATTATTCAATTACTTGTTTTAATATTCACATTTAAACGACTGAAATCGGATTCATGTGATGACTTGGGTCACAATATACATTATTAAAGAAAATTTGTAAGACAAATTTCATCCTTCTGGGCTTAATAAATTTAAAATATAAATGGCTGACTGAAAAAACTCTGTTTCAATTTCCAATAAAATTAGTCAGATAAATGTTTGCATTTATTTTTCACAAAAAATTGCTTAATAGTTCAATAAAGCTGTCCCTTTGTTCTTTTAAAGTGTCATAAGCTTAATTGATTTTTTTTTTACTTATTTAATTTTTCTTCCAGTATTTTTTCAGATATAATTATTTCTCTAGATATGAAAATAAAACAGCTAATAATATTAAAATCCATTCTTTGTTGGTAAAAACCTATAAAAATAAAATCGTTAGCCAGCAAAATATAGTTTTAGTTCACATCTCACCATTAAATAAGTGTGCTGATTGATTTTTACAAAAGTACCAATTTATTTTGGTACTGTTTAAAAGAATTGCTACCATATAACCTATATATATAAATATTGGATTCTCTTTATAGTTTCTTTCTTGTTATATACTCCGTGTTTAAACCTGAAGAAGAGGTGAGGTAAGACAAAACATATAAAAATAAATCAGAATTTCATAATAACCAATGTAATATCGTACTCCGCTAGGGACCTTTGTTTTTATTTATCAAAAATATCTTAATTTTATACTTAAATAAATAACTTAACGACATAAAATAAATATTTTAGATTTATATAGTCCAAAAATACATTTAAACAGACCCAGAAATAATAATAGTATAAAACAATAATAGTTGAATAACAGTATAAAACAATATTATAAAAAAAATAATGTTATAAAATTCTGAATAATTTTTAATTATTTAGAATTTTAAAATTAAGATAAATATTTGTACCAATTGCGCACGAGTAGCCAGTTTAAAATACTCTGGCGCCTTTAGAGGCGAATGTTGACGCTTCTGGTCATGACTTGCAATGCAATTATTCATTTTTTGGATGAGAAATACCTCTTCTTCAAATTTGTAAATGGAGTGTAGACACTCCTCTTAAATAATAAGATATGATAGCCCTATGTGCGAAACATCAATATATATATATATATATATTTTTTTTTAAAAGCTATTAATTTATCAGTCTTTTAGACCGACTATTTAAAACGAATATAAAACAAACTGTAAAGAAAAATAAAAGTACAGCGTTAAAACTTTACTTATCAATAAAATTTTCGTAGCCAAATCATTGTTGAAAAATGGTGATGTAATATTTTTGAACATCATTCTTCTTTATTTTTACAATAGAGAATAATCAAACATTGTGCGTAATTTTAACATCTTAAATGTATTGATTTGTGCATTTGAAAGTTATGCTTTTATTTATTAACTAGTAACTTGAATTTATGCTTTGTATATTTTAACTGAATGTAAAATATTTTTTATTTTATTTTTATTTTTTAGAATAGCATGTTTTTAAAGTAAAAAAAAATGCTTATTTAATCTGGGTTTAAAAAAAACTTTTTTCCCCTCTTAAATATGTATTTTAAACAAATTTACTTTAAATATAACTCGAATATTCTGAAGAAAGTTTGTTTTGTATTTTCCAGATAAAGTTGTAGTCAACAATCATAATAAATAAAGTTTTGATTGCTAACGCTTATATATTGTAAATAACTCGGGGCCGAAGTAAATAAATATTATTTTATACTGGGAAATTACACTGCACAGCAAAAAAAGTAAATAAACAAAAAATGAAAAAAATCTAAGCTTTTACACTGTTTTCGCTGATTCTTACAAAAAATGAATTCCTGAATTTGAATACGGCACCCGCCCCCTAATACCAATTGTTTTTCGACAACATACCCCCCTTCCTTAGATTGTAAATGAAAATCTTAAAAATTTATCAGTTTTTTTCTCTCGAATTTTTTATCTGATTTTTTGCATGCGCTAATTTTCAGCACCGTTTTTCCTCTAAATATCTAGCCTCAATTCTGACTAAAGCGGGTGTGAGGATGTAATGTTTCGGGAAACCTGCGAGAGAACAGATAGTTGAAAAGTTTTAATGTGTGAATAATTTCAGCACGCAATGAATAGGTGATTTGCATCCCTAAATTGTAAAAATAATCATGAAAAAAAGTTACATTTTTCAAGCTTTTCCTCGCAATTTTCGTATCCTAAAGAATATAATTTTACATGACAAAATACAAACTTTGAGCAAAATTGCTCAAACAGATCCTTAGAAATCAAATTTTAAATATCTGACTGTCTTGAATTGTTTATTATTTTTTTTATTAGTATTTGTATAAATTTTATAGAAAATATTTATTAATAGTAATTATTAATAGTAATAAATATTTACTATTATTAATAGCAAATATTAATTAATAATAAATATTTATTATTTTTTATTAGTTCATGTAATAAAAATCTACACCATATCATGTTTTTAATTGCCCTGCTGTCGCTGCTGGCCTTCACCTCTTAAACTACCCTAAAGAAGAAGATTTATATTCATTTAATGCCACAGAGATAGCAAAGACTATTCAAGCACACCATGAGATATGATTCAATAGAGGATACGACACATACTAACCAATAAAAGTCGAATAATTTTTTTATTGCAAGGTATACAATTTCGTATAGCATTTAAAAGAATGTAATATTAAATGGCAAAATACAAAATTTGAGCGAAATCGGTCGAATAGTTCCTAAAAAATCGAATTCTGAAAAGAAAAAAAAAACGTACATTTAAAATTCCGATTTCTCAGGAACTATTCAACCGATTTTTCTCAATTTTGTATTCTGCCACTTAAAATTGCATTTTTTAAAATAATGCAAAAATTTGTATACCTTACATTTCAAAATTTTTCGGCTGTTATTAGATAAAATGGTATAGATTTACAAAAAGTTACATTTCACATGGAATTATAATTAGATGAAAAGATTTTATGATTGGGTGCAAATTTTTTTTCAATTCTCTTAAAAAGTTCTTGAGACAGTTTGAAATACGCAAAAAGTAAAATTAACATTCAGAGGTCCAAACTTTGGACCATTTTCCGGACCAAATTATTTGGACCATATATCACAGATTTCGGCTACTCCCTATATTTTTGGGGTCAGAAATCCGAATCTGACGAAAAAAAGGTATGTTTATTTAGAGTAAGTGCTGTCTCTATTCTTTTCTTGAATAAAAAAGCAAGCACTTTTATGACCGTTTTCTTCAAAATTATGTGTTTGAGGAGGAAAATCCCCTCAAACTCCCCCTTCTAGCTGCAACTAATCATATATTAGGAAGTTTCAATTCTTTAGCCCCTCAGAAAAAATTTAGCATTTAAAGCAATTTTCCTCATAGGGGAAGTATATATAATTCCTGATTCGTAACTACTATCACTGAATTAGTAAATTTAATATTTTTTTTTCTTCTTTTTTCAGATATTTTCTCTGCGGACTTCTTATAGCTCATGGCAATAAAAATAAAACAATAGTTTTGATTTATTAAAATGTGCAGGTGGAATTGTTTATTGGAGTGGAGGACTGTTGATTAACGAAACTAAATCCAAAAAATGTGACCGTGTATCCTCTGAAAAGTATCGAATTCTTGTAACTGTTGGAATAGGTTTAAAATAATCTATCAATTGCAATAAAAAACACTGGTACTTTATGACATCACCGAAAATATCTTTAAATCAATCGCTTTGGAAAAAAAGTAATTGTTTGCTTTCTGATAAATTAAAATGAATAGTTGAAATTGAAATTTAGAGTGCCAGACTAGTGACAAGGGAAAATAAAATCAAAACATTTAACAACAAGAATGAAGGAAATTGCGAAATCGCGTGCTAAAGTTTTTAAATGTGGGATGTAACTTACAATATTCATTCGCCATTTCTCTCAAGAATTGCGAAATAAACTCCACTTAATACTAATGAAATGATATGAGAAAGCTATCTTTTAATGTCGCGACAAAACCTTTAAGTTAATGGCTTTTAAAAAGAAAATAATTTTGAGATTTTTTTTTTTTTTGGTAAGCTAAGATGAAATGTTGAAACTGAATGTTATAGGAGAATATTGATCCCTCACTCAATAGTAAAGAAACAATATGGCAATGCTAACTCACATTGTCGTAGATAAAATCTTTAAGAAATCATCAATATACGCCATTGCTCGAATTGGATTTTCAAAATCAAAATATCACAAAATATTTTGGCTCCTCATATTAATAGTTGGATTATCTGGTTGCGCATACAAGACTCATATATTTTTTTCTGTTTACTTCGAATATCCTGTAATAGTATCTCTTCAAGAAAAACAAATTTCAGAATCAGGTTTTCCTGCCGTTACTATTTGTAACCTCAATCGAATGAAAGTGCTCTACGAAAGTTGCATTAATGACGACATAATGGAAAAGGGTTGCATTCCTTCTAGAGGCCAAGTGGGTGTTGGTAAACCAGCAGATATAGGTTCTTATGGTAAGCAAGACATATCTGAACGACGCAGTCTACTATCTTGCAATGGTACGTTTAATAATGAATCTCTGTCAAAGCTTTATTTAATCTTCAAATATTTACGAATGAGCAATAAGAATCGAAGATTTGTAGGATATGAAGCATCAGAATTAGTAAAATTCTGCAGTTTTAACATGCAGTTATGTTCTTCAAAAGACTTCAAGTACTTTCAGAGTCTCAGATATGGTAATTGTTATACATTTAATAGTTCCAGCAAGTATGGTAAGAAGTATGTTACATTTTCTAAAACAGGATACAAAAGTGGATTGGAACTATTACTGAACTTGGGTTTAAATGAATACATGTCAACTGCTTCGAAATCTGGAATGAGAATCTCAGTTCATCATGCTTCAGAAGCACCAAACCCTGAAGTAAATGGCGTTGACATATATCCAGGGTTTGAAACATCGATTGTTCTAAAACAGATGGCCATTCAACGTTTGCCTGCACCATACAAAGACAGATGCATCCAGTACAACTCGCGTATTAATGAAAGCAGTGAAGAAGAATGCATGAAGCTATGCCTTCAGATACTGAGTTTTGAAATTTGTGGTTGCATTGATCCAACTTTAATCCTAATTCCTGGAATGAAGCATTGTAATATATTTAACATGAGTGATATTTGTTGTTTGGATGGAGTTCAAGACAACACTACTCGACATGAGTTATCATGTGACTGTCCGCCATCTTGTTATGCAGTCTCTTACAGCAACGAGATTTCAAAAGCACGGTTATCAAAGACTGACGGTATTTTGTCGAACAAATCAAAAGGCAATTTTATGAACCATTACGCTCGTTTGAAGGTATTTTACTCCACTTTCACCCACAATACTTTCAAACAATTACCAATGTTTAAAGAATCTGAAATCTTCAGTCACTTAGGTGGTGAACTGTCACTGTGGTTGGGTCTTTCCCTGTTTGCCATTTTCGAAATAATGGAAGCTCTAATAAGTCTTATCAAAGCATTTAAAGCCTCAAGTAATAAGTAAAAATAGGAAAAAAGTTTCTATTCAAAGGTAACTTCTTAAATTTTCTTTGATCAATAAGTTTTGAGTTTTTCAAAAAATACCATCGAAATATGTGTGATATTTTAATAAAAATTTTTTTTTTAGAAATTTAGGTGGGTTACACAGAAATATTTATTTAGAAGGATATAACAAGTTTTGTTTTATTGCATTTACATAATTTGAATGTATATAAGGGTATTTATGCTAGAGAACTTCTTTTAGCACAAATCGTTGCAAAACTTATTTAAAGATATATCATTTTTGTCAGAACACGAAATAGATGCTGTGTAAATTTCGATAATAACTGAAGTACCAATTTAGAATTCACTAAACTCAAAAATCAACTTAAACATTTTTTTACGAATTTAAAGAACAATTTCATACTTTTTTCTCGTTTACTTCTTTAGGTTTGCATGCGCAAATTCACACCTAATAATTCCAAATAGACTGGAAACGAAATTGTAGGAAAACTCCGCTTTATTTGCTAAGTCTTAAATTCTACTCAAGTTGTGTATTGAATTAATTAAAATACATAAACCATTATTCAATTACTTGTTTTAACATTCACATTTAAAAGACTGAAATCGGTGATAACTCGTGATAATCATGTGATAACTTGGGTCTCAATCTACATTATTAAAAAAAATTGTAACACAAATTTCATCCTTCTGGGCTTAATTAATTTAAAATATAAGTGGCTGACTGACAAAACTCTGTTTAAATTACCAATAAAATTAGCCAAATAAATGTTTGTATTTATTTTTCACAAAAATTGCTTTATAGTTCAGTAAAGCTGTCCCTTTGTTCTTTAAAAGTGTCATAAGCTTAATTGATTTTTTTCTACTTATTAAATCTTTCTTCCAGTGTTATTTCAGATATAATTATTTCTCTAGATATAAATATAAAGCAGTTAATAATATTAAAATCCTTTCTGTTTTGGTTAAAACCTATAAAAATAAAATCGTTAGCCAGCGAAATAAAGTTTTAGTTCACATCTCACCATTAAATAAGTGTGCTGATTGATTTTTACAAAGGCACCAATTTATTTTGGTACTGTTTAAAAAAAATTGCTACCATATAACCTATATATATGTATATAATATCGGTGTTTAAACCTGAAGAAGAGGTGAGGTAAGACAGGACACATAAAAATAAATCAGAATTTCATAATAACCAATGTAATATCGTACTCCGACAGGGACCTTTACTTTTATTTATCAAAATTATCTTAATTTAATACTTAAATAAATAACTTAACGACGTAAAATGAATATTTTAGTTTTATATAGTCCAAAAGTACATTTAATCAGACCCAGAAATAACTATTTTATCGCAATTTTATGATTTGATTGCCAGCTTCGTGAAAATTAAATGGTGATAAAACATCTATTTTTGGACTTATTTGATTTGAATAATAGTATAAAATAAAAAAATAATGTTATAAAATTCTAAATAATTTTTAATCATAAAATTAAGATAAATATTTGAACCAATTGCGCACGAGTAGCCAGTCTAAAATAGTGTGGCGCCTTTAGGGGCGAACGTTGACGTTTCTGGTCATGACTTGCAATGCAATTATTCATTCTTTGGATGAGAAATACCACTTCTTCAAATTTGTACATGGAGTGTAGACACTCCTCTTAAATAATAAGATATGATGGCCCTATGTGCGAAACATTAAAAAATATATACGTATATATATAATTTTTTTTAAAAGCTATTAATTTATCAATCTTTTAGACCGACTATTTAAAACGAATATAAAATAAACTGTAAAGAAAAATAAAAGTACAGCTTTGAAACTTTACAAATCAATACAACTTTTGAAGCCAAATCGTTGTTGAAAAATGGTGATGTAATATTTTTGAACATCATTCTTCTTTATTTTTACAATAAAGAATAATAAAACATTTTGCGTAATTTTAACATCCTAAATGTATTGATTGCTTGGAGACCATCTCCTCCCTTTTGTCATGTTTCAACACCCTGATGACATTGCTGTGCATCAGGATGACAATGCAGCCCCACATAGCGCCAATATCGTCCGTGCCTGGTTCGACGAACATGCAGGTGAGATCCAACGACTGAACCACCACGACTGAACCACCTCATATGAACCCCGTTGAACATATCTGGGATGCCCTCGACGTCAGGCTCAGGGCGTTGAATCCTCAACCCACGAACAGACCAAAATCGGCTACCGCTCTGCAGGATGTGTGGTGCAAACTACCACCGGACGTCTTCCAGAGACTTGCAGACTCACTTCCACACCGTATCGCTGCAATCCGCAGGGTTAGAGGGGCCCCACCAGATATTAGGTGAGTATCCCATGAGTTTTGCTCAGTCAGTGTACTTAGCACTTTTCCGTATTTTTATGGCCATGAATTTGATATGAAGAAAGGAATAAGAATTCTTTTTGCCATTAAACTTTGTGTAAAGGACTAGAGAGGTGAAGAGTTCAACAATGTGAACAGTTTATTCGAAAGAGAGAGATTTTGGGGGATCCCTTCCTTAGATTGTAAATAAAAATCTTAAAAAATTATAAATTTTTTTCTCTCGAATTTTTTATCTGATTTTTTGCATGCTCTAATTTGCATCACCGTTTTTCTACATCAAATATCCTCTAAATATCCTGCCTCAATTCTGACTAAAGCGGGAATGAGGATGTAATGTTTCAGGAAACCTGCGAGAGAACGAAAAGTTGAAACGTTTTAATGCGTGAACAATTTTAGGACGCAATGAATAGGTGTGATTTGCATCCTTAAATTGTAAAAAAAATCATTAAAAAAAGTTACATTTTTCAAGCTTTCGAATCATCTTAAAGAATATAATTTTAAATGACAAATACAAACTTTGAGCAAAATTGCTCAAACAGATCCTTTGAAATCAAATTTTAAATATCTGACTGTCTTGAAATATTCATTATTTTTTTTTATTAGTATTTGCATAAATTTTAAAGAAAATATTTATTAATAGTAATTATTAATAGTAATAAATATGTACTATTATTAATAGCAAATATTAATTAACAGTAAATATTTATTATTTTTTATTAGTTTATGAAATAAAAATCTACACCATATCATGATTTTAATTGTCCTGCAGTCGCTGCAGGCCTTCATCTCTTAAACTACCCTACAGAATAAGATTTATATTCATTTAATGCCACAGAGATAGCAAAGACTATTCAAGCACACCATGAGATATGATTCAATAAAGGATACGACACCAACTAACCAATAAAAGTCGATAAAGAATTTTATTGCAAGGTATACAATTTCGTATAGCATTTAAAAGAATGTAATATTAAATGGCAAAATACAAAATTTGAGCGAAATCGGTCGAATAGTTCCTAAAAAATCGAATTCTGAAAAGAAAAAAAAACGTGCATTTAAAATTCCGATTTCTCAGGAACTATTCAACCGATTTTTCTTAATTTTGTATTCTGCCACTTAAATCGCCTTTTTTAAAATGATGCAGAAATTTGTATACCTTGCATTTCAAAATTTTTCGGCTGTTATTAGATAAAATGATAAAGATTTTGAAAAAGTTACATTTTGCATGGAATTATATTTGGATGAAAAGATTTTATGATTGGGTGCAAAAATTTGCTCAATTCTCTTAAAAAGTTCTTGAGACAGTTTGAAATACGCAAAAAGTAAAATTAACATTCAGAGGTCCAAACTTTGGACCATTCTCCGGACCAAATTATTAGGACCATATATATCACAGGTTTCGGCTAGCTACTCCCAATTTTTTTGGGGTCAGAAATCCGAATCCGACGAAAAAAAGGTATGTTTATTCAAAATAAATGCTATCTGTATTGTCTGATTTCGTAACATAAAATAATGTCTGCATTAATTAATTAGCACATTTGAGCTCACTTTCTTGAATTATTAAGATTGAGTCCTAGAACGTGAAGGTCCGATCGTTAGATCAAAAGTTATATAGGATGGTCGATTTATTAATTAATTAATTTATTTTTGCCCACTGTACATACACTTAATTTCATATAATTTTCTTGAAAAAAAAAGCAAGCACTTTTATGACCATTTTCTTCAAAATTATGTGATTGAGGAGTAAAATCCCCTCAAACTCACCCTTCTAGCTACAACTATCATGTATTAGGAAGTTTCAACTCTTTAGTCCCTCAGAAAAAATTTTGCATTTAAAATAATTTTCCTCATAGGGGAAGCATATATAGTTCTTGATTCGTAACTACTATTACTGAATTTGTAAATTTAATATTTATTTTTCTTTATGTTTCAGATATTTTCTCAGCTTGCTTTTTATGGTTCATGGCAATGAAAACAAAATAGTGGTTTTGATTTATTAAAATGTGCATGTGGAATTGTATATTAGAGTGGAGGACTACTGATTAACGAAATTAATGGAAAAAATGTGACATTGTATCCTCTGAAAAGTATCGATTTTTTGTAATTGTTGGAATTGGTTTAAAATAAATAATCGATTGCAATAACACTTGTACCTAATGACATCGCTGACAAAATTTTTAAACCAAAAGTTTGGAAAAAAATAACTTTTTGCTCTCTGATGAATTAAAATGAATAGTTGAAACTGAAATTTGGAGTAGCAGACTGGTGACTAGTGAAAATAAATTCAAAAGATTTAACAACAAGATTCAAGGAAATTGCAAAATCGCGTGCTAAAGTTTTTAAATGCTGGATGTAACTTAAAATATTCTTTCGCCATTTCTTTCAAAAATTGCGAATTAAACTCCACTTAATACTAATGAAATGATATAAGAAAGCTATCTTTTAATGTCGTAGACAAAACCTTTCAGTCAATGGCTTTTAAAGGAAAATAATTTCGTGTTTTTTTTTTTTGGTAAACTAAGATGAAATGTTGAAACTGAATGTTAGAGGGGAATATTGATGGTTAATGAAACTAAATCCAAAGGAGTAACGACTTTTTTTTGGTAAATCATTGAATCATGAAGTAAGCTTTTGAAAAATGAATGTAGTTTAAATTTTTCACGGCATTAAAAAAAAAAGAAAAAACCGGAGAAAATATTTTATAAAACCCGTCACTTAATAGTAAAGAAAAAATATGGCAATGCTAACTCACATTGTCGCAAATAAAATCTTTAAGAAATCATCAATATATGCGATTGCTCGAATTGGATTTTCAAAATCAAACTATCACAAAATATTTTGGCTCCTCATATTAATAGTTGGATTATCTGGTTGCGCATACAAGACTCAAATATTTCTTTCTGTTTACTTCGAATATCCTGTAATAGTATCTCTTCAAGAAGAACAAATTTTAGAATCAGGTTTTCCTGCCGTTACTATTTGTAACCTCAATCGAATGAAAGCGTTCTACGAAAGTTGCAATAACGACGACATAATGGAAAATGGTTGCATTCATTCTATTGGCCAAGATGATGGTGATAAAACAGAAGATATAGGTTCTTCTGGTAAGCAAGACATATCTGAACGACGCAGTCTACTATCTTGCAATGGTACGTTTAATACAGAATCTTTGTCAAAGCTGTATTTAATCCTCAAATATTTACGAATGAGCAATAAGAATCGAAGATTTGTAGGATATAAAGCATCAGAATTAGTGAAATTCTGCAGTTTTAACATGCAGTTATGTTCTTCGAAAGACTTCAAGTACTTTCAGAGTCTCAGATATGGTAATTGTTATACATTTAAAAGTTCCAGCAAGTATGGTAAGAAGTATGTTACTTTTTCAAAAACAGGATACAAAAGTGGATTGGATCTATTACTGAACCTGGGTTTAAATGAATACATGTCAACCGCTTCGAAATCTGGAATGAGAATCTCAGTTCATCATGCTTCAGAAGCACCAAACCCAGAAGTAAATGGCGTTGACATAAATCCAGGGTTTGAAACATCGTTTGTTCTAAAACAGATGGCAATTCAACGTCTGCCTGCACCATACAAAGACAGATGCATCAACTACAACTCGCGTATTAATGAAAGCAGTGAAGAAGAATGCATGAAACTATGCCTTCAAAAACTGAGTTTTGAAATTTGCGGTTGCATTGATCCAACTTTGATCCTAATTCCTGGAATGAAGCATTGTAATATATTTAACATGAGTGATATTTGTTGTTTGGATGGAGTTCAAGACAACACTACTCGACATGAGCTATCATGTGACTGTCCGCCATCTTGTTATGCAGTCTCTTACAGCAGCGAGATTTCAAAAGCACGGTTATCAAAGACTGACGGTATTTTGTCGAACAAATCAAAAGGCAATTTTATGAACCATTACGCTCGTTTGAAGGTATTTTACTTCACTTTAACCCAAAATACTTTCAAACAATTACCAATGTTTGAGGAATCTGAAATCTTCAGTCACTTAGGTGGTGAACTGTCACTGTGGTTGGGTCTTTCATTTTCGAAATAATGGAAGCTCTAATAAGTCTTATCAAAGCATTTAAAGCCTCAAGCAATAAGTAAAAATAGGAAAAAAGTTTCTATTCAAAGGTAACTTCTTAAATTTTCTTTGATCAATGAGTTTTGAATTTTTCAAAAAACTCCATCGAAACATATTTGATATTTTAATAAAACATTTTTTTTTTCGAAATCTAGGTGGGTTACACAGAGATATTTACTTAGAAGGATATAACAAGCTTCGTTTTGCTGCATTTACATAATTTGACTGTATATAAAGATATTTATGCAAGATAAATTTTTTAATACAAATAATTGCAAAACTTATTAAAAGTTACATCATTTTAGTCAGAACACGAAATAGATACTGCGGAAATTTAGATAACAACTGAAGTACCAATTTAGAATTAATCAAACTCAAAAATAAGCTTAAATCTTTTTTTTAAAAATTGAAAGAACGATTTCATGCTTTTTTTACGTTAATTTCTTTAGGTTTGCATACGCAAATTCGCATCTAATAATCCCAAATAGATAGGAAGAAAAAATGTAGGAAAATTCCTCTTTATTTGCTAAGTCTTAAATTCTACTTAAGTTGTGTATTAAATAAATAAAAATACATAAAACATTATTCAGTTACTTGTTTTAATATTCACATATAAAGGACGGAAATCGGAATCATGTGATAACTTGGGTCTCAATATACATTCTGAAGAAATTTTATAGAAAAAATTCCCTTAATAAATTTGAAATATAAATGGTTGACTGACAAAACTCTGTTTTAATTACCAATAAAATTAGCAAGATAAATGTTTGTATTTATTTTTCGCAAAAAAATGCTTAATAGTTTAGTAAAGCTGACCATTTGATCTTTAAAAGTGTCATAAGCTTAATTGTATATTTTTTATTTATTTAATTTTCCTTCTATTATTATTTTAGATATAATTATTTCTCTAGATATAAATATAAAACAGTCAATAATATTAAAATCCATTCTCTTTTGGCTAAAACCTATAATAATAAAGTCGTTAGCCAGTAAAATATTATTTTAGTTCATATCTCACCATTAAATAAGTGTGCTGATTGATTTTTACAAAAGTACCAATTTATTTTGCTACTGTTCAAAGGAATTGCTTCCATATAACCTATATATATATAGGTTATATGGTAACAATTCTTTTATTTATATATAT